TATTTATTTATTTTTGAGACAGAGTCTCACTCTGTTGCCTGGGCTAGAGTGCTCTGGCATCAGCCTAGCTCACAACAACCTCAAACTCCTGGGCTCAAGCCATCCTCCTGCCTCATCCTCCCAAGTAGCTGGAACTACAGGCATGAGCCACCATGCCCAGCTAATTTTTTCTATATATTTTTAATTGGCCAATTAATTTCTTCCTATTTTTAGTAGAGATGGGGTCTCGCTCTTGCTCAGTCTGGTTTTAGAACTCCTGACCTCGAGCAATCTGCCCACCCCGCCTCCCAGAGTGCTAGGATTACAGGCGTGAGTGACCACGCCCAGCCTCCCTTAGTTTTAAATGAAAAACATACTCAGTGATTGAAGAATCTAGCAAAGTCACTCAAACTCTTTGTTTATATTTATAGGAGGAAAGGAAATTATAAGACAATTACATTCATACATCAAGAGGAAAAGCAACAGTATCTGTCTCGTTTAGAAAAATGAACATGTCAGTTCATTAGTTCCATAAACAATCATTTAGTAAACAATTAATCATATGTGAACTCTTCCAGGAATTACCAAATCCCTTGCCATAGGCTTCAGCAATTAAATCTGATGTTCAGATAACAGGATACAAATCAGAGTTTTATTGACTGTTCTTTTTCCTGTTTCTCTGTAGAACTGTTGAAAATGTTTTCCTTTATAAAAGATTTTTCTTGTTACTGTTGTTGAAATTATTTGGAGAAAATATTCATAACTTCAAACTATTTTACATTTGAGAAAATATTTAGCCAACCTTGGCTAATGAGATAGGAATCCAGGAGAGACTGAGAGAATGTTCCAGATGACTTTTTTTTTTTTATCATTTTGACTTAATTATGGCAATTCCATAAAACATTTCCCACTTCCCACCCCATCCCCCACCCCAGCTCTCTGCAAATGAAAGAAAAGCTCACTGGGGCTCTGAGAATGCCTGCCATTTTTTTCTCTGCTCACCAGTACCAGAGTTGGTCAATGTGGGAGCCAGGATCTCCTGTGAAGAAAATGAATTGAAAGACAGGGTCTCATTACACATACATTATGTCACCTTGCCTTTCTCTGCATTCCCCTTCCCTTGGATTTTATGGGTAGGCAGAAATGAAGTTTATGGGATATTTTGACATATTCATTGTCAAGATCTTTGCTCCAGCCAAACTGATTCTAGGTATAATCAAACAATTCAACATTAAAGTAAAAGGACATTACCTTCTAACTGAGTCACTTTTAAGCTGTATGACTTATTTCAGGGTTATCTGTTCTCTACTAGCCTTCATTTCATCATATAAAGAAATGGACATAGTACTCCTTAGCTCATAGAGCTGCTGTGAGAAATAAATGATGTAAGCTATATAAAACAGCTAGCATACAAAAAACATTCAAAAAGTGGTAATTCTCTTCTACTCTACATAAGGGATGGTTCCAACTATGGTTCTGTTTTCCTCGTTGTTGCTGTCCTTGTTATTATTGTCTTATGATGAAAGAAAAAAGTTGAGGAAAATGGTATGTTAGAAGAATCTCCTAAAAGCCTGGTCTTGGCTGGGAAGTACGTTTATCTATTTGGGTTTTTCTTAAGACAGGTGGGTATAAGAATTATTCAAATAGCTTAGCTCAGAATCTTTCTTAGATGAAGACTGAATAGCACTGGGTTACTCTCTAGGATTAAACCTGGGTTGGGATGCAGGGAGATTACATTTCAGTTGTGTGCTGGAGAAGGCCTGATTCATTTCCAGAGAAAATGGAGATCCCCATGAAATAATGGATATGGGTAATGATTACCAATAGCTGCATTAGGTGAAAAGCTGATGGAATCTTATAATAGATGGATCAGGCTGATGCCTTAACATTACAAAAGGAAAGCCAACTAGATATTATGTTTCTTCAGATATGATACAATAGAATTACACAGTACTATTTATGCAATCTTTTCTGCTAAAAAGTGATCTAGCCTCTAGATGTAACTATCAGTTTATAGAAACTACAGGGGACAGAAAAATATGTTAAATTCAACCATGTTGAAATTAGCAAAATCAACACTGAATTTGGGAAACGTTGCATAGGGCAATGCCCTATCTTCTATAACAAATTACAGAGAAAAAGAAGAGGGAGATGGAATTTACAGATTAAAAGAAACTTAAGATATATGTCAATAAAATGCAATGTGTTGGCTTTGTTTGCGCCCTGACCTGGAAAAATAAATCAACTGTAAAACAAAATTTTCTGAGTTAACCTGGAAAAATGCAAGAACAAGACCTTATCTCTACTAAAAATAGAAAAATTAGCCAGTTGAATAAAAAGATAAAAATAATTAGCCAGGCATGGTGGCATGAGCCTATAGTCCCAGGTACTCAGGAGGCTGAGGCAGGAGAATCACTTGAGCCCAGGAGTTTGAGGTTGCAGTGAGCTATGATTAACACCACGTCACTCTAGTCCAGGAAACAGAGAAAGACTCTGTCTCAAAAACAAAAACAAAACACAGTATTAAGGATATTTGATGATGATTATTATTGTGGCTTTTTTAGGTGTTATAATGGTGCTGTGATTAGGTTAAAAGAGTCAGTTGTGAAAGAAAAAGGGCTGCATTTTCATCTTGACACTGAGCAATTTCTTTAACTCTACCATAATTAACAGTGGTCCTTTTAATCCCTTCTATGACACAGGAAAGCATAAGGTTTCACTCCGCCATGAGGAGCTCTTTGTTGGTAACCTCAATTCAGGTTCTGTTCTGGGACTGCTGTGGGGCCAGTGGTGTAAGTATAGGGTTGTCTTCAATTGAGAGCATCTGCATACTCCCTAGCCTTGGACCAAATACGGCCCCTCTCCTCAGAAGTAGTACAAGTGGATAAAATTATATGGATCTCTCCATGAAAGGCCATAGGAAAGTGTGAGATATTCTAATTCTTTGGAGAGCTTTGAAGGATCAGCTGAGAAGCTGCCCAGTTTGGTTTCTATTTGAGACAAATCAGACATAGAAAAAGAGATTTGGACTTGGATAATGTCTTCCGAGCCAGCAATCTCTCAAAGAGGGAGCTGGTATATGGGTGGGGAGGGATTTTGAAATGGCTGGCTGGAGCAATTACAGCCTAGCACGAAGGGTGGAGACAGGGTAGAAAAGAGAGGAGGGAGGAAACAGGGAGAAGTGAAGATGGCAGAATTAAAGGGTTAAATCAGGGGTCCTCAAACTTTTTAAACAGCGGGCCAGTTCACTGTCCCTCAGACTGTTGGAGGGCTGGACTATAGTTTTAAAAAAACTATGAACAAATTCCTATGCACACTGCATATATCTTATTTTGAAGTACAAAAACAAATGGGCAAAAACACCCGCATGTGGCCCGCGGGCCATAGTTTGAGGACTCCCGGATGGTGGCACTGAAGGAAGGCAGTGATATGGAGGGAGAACAGGGTGAGCAGAAAGGGAAACATCATCCAAGTCAAAGGAGGATAGGGGAAGAGATGTAGAAGTAAGAAATAACATGCAGCAGGTGGAGCGAAGATCAGGATGTTAAGCAAGTTCAAAGAATGCCTAATGTAGGGAACTTCAGACCATTTTCTGAATTGGAAGCAATAAAGGTAGAATTGCAGAATGGTATTATGATTAAGAGATCCAGGCCGGGCGCGATGGCTCACACCTGTAATCCTAGCACTCTGGGAGGCCAAGACAGGTGGATTGCTCGAGGTCAGGAGTTCAAAACCAGCCTGAGCAAGAGCGAGACCCCATCTCTACTATAAATAGAAAGAAATTAATTGGCCAACTAATACATATACAAAAAATTAGCTGGGCATGGTGGCATATGCCTGTCCCAGCTATTCGAGAGGCTGAAGCAGCAGGATGGCTTGAGCCCAGGAGTTTGAGGTTGCTGTGAGCTAGGCTGCTGCCACGGCACTCACCCTAGCCTGGGCAACAAAGTGAGACTCTGTCTCCAAAAAAAAAAGATCCATTTTGGGGCCAAATCTCCTGGTCATCTAATTTATATTGTGACCAGGCTGTACTGAAATAGAAGACTAAACGTTTGGGCTGGATGGAGGTCAGTAAGTCCCAAAGTTGTCAAATTCTTAAGGAGACATCCCAATGGGGAGTTTTTAGGTGGGGCTGACTAAACATTACCCATAGCAATAACTAGGAGGAAAAAAAAGGAAGGACTTTAGGGGTGGTTATGCATCTACAGTGAGAGTCTGAGAAGGGCATCCCTGACTCAGATTACCTGCAGAGTTCTGACCAGACATTGGGTATTCCTGAAATCAGATCCAGCCAGGAAATGGGTGTCTCCATGTTCTGACCCAGACTGAAACCTTGAGATCTTCCCCAAAGCCAGGCATCCCTGCATCTGAGTGAAGACTGAGAAGGGCGGTTAGGAGGTATCCTTCCAAGGAACTCCCTCGATGGGTAGACCTGGCACCGGATTTTCCATACTAGACCACACCAAAGAGCTACCACCCCTGGACTCAAGCACATGGCCATTTCCAAAGTCCATGAGACTCACTAAGTTCTGAATAATATTGAGAGCACTGAGAAGGATGTCCTAGGAGCTGTGCAACAGAGGAGGGAGCAGTTTCAAGACAGAAGTATAAAAGTGATCTCCCCATATGGGCCATCAAAATGTTAGCGTGGGAACTATCACCATGGGCTGAGAAAGAATTCTTGACTCAAAGATTAGGATAGGTTTTAAAGAAAGAAGTTTCTTTTACTTTCCAAAAGAGGAAAGGGCATGGCATAAAAGAAAGAAAGAAAGAAGAAATGAGGATGAAGGGTTTGGGCTTTATTTATTTATTTTTTTGAGACAGAGTCATGCTCCATTGCCCCAGGCTAGAGTGCAGTGACATCATCATAGCTCATTGTAAATGCAAACTCCTGGGCTCAAGCAATCCTCCTGTCTCAGCCTCCCAAGCAGCTGGGACAATGGACACATGCCACCATGCCCAGCTAATTTTTCTAATTTTAGTGGAGATGGGGTCTCACCCTTGCTCAGGATGGTCTCAAACTCCTGATCTCAAGTGATCCTCCTATCTTGGCCTCCCAGAGTGTTAGGATTACAGGTGTGAGCTACAATGCCTGACCAGGGTTTGGGCTTTTTATTGGTGTTATAAAAGGTAAAGAAAAAAAGTACTTATTGTTGCAAAATGATAACAGAAGGCAGCTGTGTTTGTCTCTCTTCTCTGCTAGGCTGGCTTTATCAGTCTTATCAGAATGTGTTCTGGCGGATATGGGGGAGGGTCACTCCCCTCCTGTCTGTGGGAACTCTTCAAGTGCTGTAAAACAAACTCTTAAAGAGAAAAACCCAAGCCACAGGTGGTTAAGCAAACAAAGGGGCAGTTGTGTGCTGTGATTCCCCCACTTTTTTTCTCTGTTAGATAGTTTATTAGCAAAGCCATCCTCTCACTGCACACTTTCAAAAGGCCCAGCAACATCCTGTGCCAAAGGATTGGGAGCTCTTATGGAGCCTGGCCCTCCATTACCATCTCAGGGACAGCTCCTTATGTGCTGAGGCAGATAGAGAGGACATACAGGTAACCCAGCAACACCTCATGCTGAGCATTTGAGGGCCTTCCTCAAAGTATGGAACCCCCCCCCATGGCCACTCCAGGAGCAGTTTCACAGGCACTGAGGCAGATAGTAAAGACACACACACCCTCAAGAGGCCCAGCAACACCCTCATCCAGGTGCACTGGGGCCTCCCGCAGAATCTGGTCGCCCATGGCCTCCACAGGAGCAGTTTTACAGGTGCTGAGGCAAATAGAGAGGAACTTCACACCTTCAAAAGGCCCAGAAACACCCTGTGCCCATATCTTTGGGTCTATACCTCAGAGATTGGCTCCCCAAGATGCTCCAGTGGCAGCTTAACAAGCACTGAGGCAGGCAATGAGGATGCATGCACCTTCTAAAGTCCCAGCAATACCCTACGCTGGGAGATTGGGTTCATCTTGTGGAGCCTGGCCCCAAATGTCCACCCAAGGGGCAGCTCCACAGGTGCTCAAGCAGATAGTGAGGACCTGTACAACCAGAGTCCCAGTAATACCCTGTGCCAGTGCATGGGGGCCTCTCCTGAGAGCATATAGGCCTGTAGCCACCTTCACAGGCAATGTGGCAGATAATGAGGATATGAACAACTGCAAAAGGTCTAGCAACACCCTTAGCCAGGACCTTGGGGGCCTCCTGTGGAGTCTGGCCCACCTTAACAGGTGGTGGGGCACTGAGTGAGGATGTGCACACCTTCAAGTGGACCAGCAATCCCCTGCACTGAAAACTTAGGTGACTCCCACTGAGACTGGCCACTCATGGTCACCCAAGGGGAAGATTCACACACATTGAGGCAGATAGGACATGCATAACTTCAAGAGTCCCAGCAACACTCTGTGATGAGAGCTTGGGGGTTTCCTGTGGAGCCTGGAACCCATGGCCACTTTCACAGGCGCTACAGAAGATAATGAGTATATGTACAACTTCACGAGGCCAAGCAACACACCATGCCAAGGGCTTTGGGGCCTCCCAGGAAGTCTTGCCCACCATGACCACCCCAGGGGCAGCTTCACAGGCACTGAGGCAGACAGTGAGAACATACACACCTTCAAGAGGCCCAGGAAAACCCTGTGATGGCAGTTTTTTGGCCTCCAAGTATGCAACGTGTGCATTCCAGCCAGCCACTCTCAGCTTACCTGATGTCTAGGACATTTCTCACTGGACAAGAGCCACAGTGCCATGGCATTGCCACCCCTGGGGCCTCAGCCAAAGCTCCCCCACCCCAGCACCCCAAACCCAGTCATGCAGAAATACCACATGGGGGCAGCCCTCAGCAGAGATCTTAAGTGAGGGAAAGTAGCAGATTGGTCTCCGTCGTTGCCACTCATCCCCAGGTGCAGTGCCCTCCCTGCAGTGGCCAGTGGCCGACGTCCCCAAGCTTGCTCCTGTGACATCTGTACATATCCTCTACTTGGTGGAGAGAATGCAGGCCAGTGTGCAGCACCCATGAGTGAGCAAGTCAGTACTTTCCTGCTGGGGAGAGTTGGTGTGGGCCGACTGTATAGCATGAATTCTGAAGATGTCTACATGCTAGTACACCTAGGTTCTCCCGCCCTACTGGCCCTGGAGTGGGCAGGTGCCAATTCCTACCAGTCTAGGGCCCTATCATCCTGACCTGCATTAACTCCTCACTCATGCCCTTCCTGGGCACCATGGCCCTAGCTGAGGGTGTGAGATCCAGCCACACTCTGTTAACCACAGCCTCAAGCCTGGCCAGAACATTGTAAACCTCACCAGAAAATCTGTCGTCAGACCATGTGTCCCCATTTTGGATTACGAAAGTATGATTGCCACAGATACAGTGGGATCACAAAAGGTACCCCAGCCTTGTCCTGCCCTTCATGTCTGGGCTCTTATCCAGATCCCACATCTCTGGGGTATTTCCTCACCAGTCCCAGAAGCAATTAGTCATTTTGCTAACCAGAGAGCCCAGGACCAGCAGACCAAAGATGTGGACTTTTCCGTTTTTGCTTTCTTTTTTTGGCAGGGTAGAGGCAAGAGACCAAAGGGGAAAGTCAAGAATAATGGTCAGAAGTGGTTTTCGAAGGCAAAGGACTCAGATCCCCAGATGCCACAGAGCAGGTGATGATGTCTGCTTTCAGGTCAGGGCCATAGCAGGGCAGCTGCTACACATTGGAGAAGCAGGGCAGAGGACAAGAAGATGCAAATGGATTATGACAGCAGATAGAAGCAGCCAGGAACAGGACTTGGGGTTCCAGAAACTGGGGTAACAAGGGCACCATGGGGTCAGGGCCCTCAGAATCTGGAGCTGCAGGCCTGCTCTGCCATTCTGGGGCATGGCTGGGTCTGTGCCAGGCCGTGTTTCCTTCACCCTCCTTACCCCTGGTGCTCGCTGTGAGTTCAAAGAAACTGAGGCTAGAACATGAAGGCTGTGTTGGAAAAAAAGCAAGGAGGCTGGGGTGGCTGCGCAGAGTGAGGCAGAGGAGGAGTGGGCTGTGGGTAGAAAGGACACTGTGCCAGATCGTACAGCTTCTTGCATTCCACGCAAGGACTTGGATTTCGCCTGGCATGAGCTGAGAAGCACTGAAGGATTTGAGGAGAGGAGTGACTTGATAGCGTTTGTTTAGTCCTGGCTAGTTCAACAGATAAACACAACAACTGATTCCTAAGATCTAGGGTAACCCATACCTTCCCCTCAACTTCTTTCCTTTCCATTTCAAGACTCTTATGTCCTGCTCCATCTGTCCTTCCCACCTGAGAAAGAGCTTCCTCTGCCCCTTCACAGGACTAACCCCTTCAAGCAACTCCTTTACCTCTTGAAAATAAACTGCTTACCAATTTCCCAGAAAACTTGTGATGTTTGTAAATCATTACCTGTAAGAGGGACAGGACACCCCAGGATTATAAACATTCAGTGTAAATTTAACTCAGAGCTCTGGCTCCTCCCTCTGGAATGTTTCCACCAATCAAGCAAAAGTGCTCAGGGCAAGTCTTGCTTCATCTGATTGTCAGACTACTTTTCCCTCTTATTTGGACTACTACCAAGACTAAAGCAGATGAAACTCAAGTTTCAGGGCTGCTCTTCTAGGAAACAGGTCTGCCATCATCATTGCCAGCTGTGTTGGAATCTGTAACTTTAGTGAGTACTACTTCTCCTCTCCTATATAAGATATGCTGCACTGCCACATCAATTTTTTGAGCAAAGATAGCAACAGGTGAACAAAACCAACAAAGCAAAAATGTTCTTGCTCTCACTTAAGTCTTTGGCAGCCAAGGTGTATCTCTCAGGATTTCTCAGTTGTGTAATACTAGTTAATAATATGCACACACAAAAGGCTGTAAACACAGCAGCTGAGTTTTTCATCTTAAGCCTTTTGGTGCTATTTGATTATTTTTTTTAAACTATGTGCATGTATTAACTTGATAAAATGTTTTAGAAAACAATTAATTGAATCCAGGTAGTGGCTGAGTTTTTCACAGAACTATCTACTTAGCTCCCCACCCTGCTCAGTGGCAGATGGGAATCCATTTTCTGCATCATCCAGAAAGTATGCAAACTACCTCTAGGAGACTTTGGGTAAACCTAAGAAAATAAACTGGAGACAGCCATTTTTCTCCATTAGGCGGTGAAGGGCTGCTCCAAAAGTTCTGTATGGAAGAGGTTTAAAGAAGGGTCTGTTGGGGTGGGGGAGAACAGTTGGGACTTTACCTTGTGTTGAGGCTCTATGTGCCAAACCACTGTTATTACTTGGATTGCTTACAGGGAGGGGTGTTTATGGACATGTGGGGAGGCTAAAGCTCCCCTTGGCTGTTTATAGGGATATAGAACTTGCATTTCAGATGGGGCCTTAATTATTTTGAGAAGCTCATCTAACCTGTAGTGGTACTGTATTTCTTAGAAGAGTTTTCCTTAGCAATACTTCTGTGGCTTAGTATAAAATTCTGGACTTACACTGGCAAAATTATCCAGATCTTTTACCTACAAAGAATTTTACATACCTGGAAAATGAAAGTTGTAAAATGCTACGATCACTGAAAAGGCAGGAACAGAACTGTCTTGGGGAGAAGCAATCTGACAGTTTTGATGAAGAGGATGTTGATATTTGCTTTTTGGTAGAACAGAATGGTTAGGTTTGTTTTAAGCTCCAAATGACTTGTCAATTTTCTTTACAACATATGTTTGAAGGATTCTGAATGTGGTAGAGTTTATATGGGGGATAGGGAATAAATCATACTGAATTCTAATTCTACACAGTATTGGCAAGCTGAGGGTACAGTGTATTTATCCTCAATGATATTATTATTTGCATAATCGTATAATATCTTCCTTAATAGTCTATAAGCTTCATGGGGACAGGACCAGCTGTGTCTTATTCACAGTTTTATTTGTAGCATTTAGCGTAGCTCTGGCACATAGTAGGTGCTCAATAATATCTGATGAATGAATGCATGCATTGTCCAGTTTGGATATGTGTGCATCTCGTCTGTAAAATAATAATCAATAATAATAAATGACTACAAAGTGCTTAGCACAGTGCTGCCAGATCTCAGAAAAAATGTCACCTCCTTAGAGAAACCTACTGAAAGAACCTCCCTTTTCTCCCATTATAGTCTGTTTTTTTGTGTACTATCACATTAATTTGTTGCCTTGCTTATTATATATGGCTTTCCATAAGAGCAAGGAGGAACTTGTCTGTCTCTCATTTACCCCTATATCCTCCATGTCTGAAACAATTCATGGTCAGTGCTCAATCAGTATTTGTTGAATAAATAAATGGCTTATGCCAACCTGCCAACAACGAAGCACAAGACCCCAAGGCATCTGTTCTAATTAGTCTAAATTCTTGCCTCTTATAATATAATCAGACTTTTTCCTAATTGTTCTTTTTTTTTTTTGAGGCAGAGTCTCACTTCTGTTGCTTGGGCTAGAGTGCCGTGGCATCAGCCTAGCTCACAGCAACCTCAAACTCCTAGGCTCAAGCAATCCTTCTGCCTCAGACTCCTGAGTAGCTGGGACTACAGGCATATGCCACCATGCCCAGCTAATTTTTTCTATATAGTTTTAGTTGACCAATTAATTTATTTGTATTTTTAGTAGAGACCGGGTCTCACTCTTGCTCAGGCTGGTTTCGAACTCCTGACCTTAAGCAATCCTCCCGTCTTGGCTTCCCAGAATGCTAGGATTACAGGTGTGAGCCACCACACCCAGCCTTGTTCTTAACTATTTTAAAATACTTTGTTTTTACATCCAAGTAATGAAAGAATCAGGACATTCCTTTTGAAGGAAATAGTTTCAAAATTTAATCTAAATTGTGAAATAAAACAATTCAATTGATCATTGATAGGGGACTAGTTTAAGAAATTACAATGCATCTGTTCACTGGAATACCATGCAGCTGTTAAAAAATAAAAAACAGAGTGAAGATCTCTGTGTACTGATATGGAATGACCTCCAAAAATACATTGTTAAAACTATTTTTAGTGGGCAGAATAGTGTGTATTCTAGGCTACCTGTTGTGTAAAATCAGTGGAGAAATAACAATCTATAGTCATATTTGCTTGAATGCACATAAAGAAACCATGAAAAGATACACAGACATAGTAATAGTGGTTCCCTGAGGGGTCAGGGGGGATGAAACTGATGAAACCATTTTGAAATTAAGAGTGGGAGGCAGATTTTTTCACTGTGTACCTTTTATGTTTTTTGAAACATTTGAAGACATTATGCAAACAATTAAAAACAAAGAGAGACAAGTTTTATCTAAAAACTTAGTGTTGACTACTTTCTTCCTTCAGCTGAAGGAAACCCGATGCTAATCTTGTCAGGAAGAGAGATGGCAGCCAAACGTACAAGCTGTAACTTGCTGGCAAACAAGAGACCAGTCCCAGTGATAAACAGAATGTCATTTGAGGACTTGGAGGCTTAACTCAGAGAAACTGGGCCTCAGAGCAAATTTATTTCTGTTCTAAAAGGCCTTTTCTCCTAGAGCCTGTGAAGAAATTTCTGTTAATGCTTTTCCTCCCACAGCCTATTTAGGCAAGAGAACACTGGGCAACACTTTATTAAACCTGAACCCTTAGAAAAATCTTATTTTGGGAAACTTTGCTCTCAATTTTCCTATATCAATCCAGTTCTGATCTATTGTCAGTATAGATCAGCATTTCCCAAAATAATTTTCTGCAACACTAGAAATATTTAACCTCTGCACTGACCTATATTGTTTTAGCCACTAGCCACGTGTGGCTATTAAACACTTGCACGGGCCGGGCACGGTGGCTCACGCCTGTAATCCTAGCACTCTGGGAGGCCGAGGCGGGCAGATTGCTCGAGGTCAGGAGTTCGAAACCAGCCTGAGCAAGAGGGAGCCCCGTCTCTACTATAAATAGAAAGAAATTAATTGGCCAACTAAAAATATATAGAAAAAATTAGCCAGGCATGGTGGTGCATGCCTGTAGTCCCAGCTACTCGGGAGGCTGAGACAGTAGGAATGCTTGAGCCCAGGAGTTTGAGGTTGCTGTGAGCTAGGCTGATGCCACGGCACTCACTCTAGCATGGGCAACAAAGTAAGACTCTGTCTCAAAAAAAAAAGAAAAGAAGAAAAACAAAACCACACTTGAACGAACATAGCTGGTGTAGGCCAAATGCTATTATAATTCCTAGGGATAGTAGCATGAACATAACAGATAAGGCTCCTGCCCTCATAGAACATTCTAGTGCAAACATAAGCAAACTATAGCCATGAGCTAGATCCAGCCCTCTGCCAGTTTTTGTACAAACTTCAAACTAAGAATGGTTTTTATATTCTTAAATGATTGGAAAGAGAATCAAAAGGGGAACAATAATTCCTGAAACATGAAAATTACATGAAATTCAAGTTTCTGTATCCATGAATAATGTTTTTTTTTAACACTGCCACGCCCATTTATTTATGGATCATCAGTGGCTACTGTCTCAACAGCAGAGGTAAATAGTTACAGCAGAGAGTGTATGACCCACAAAGCCTCAAATATTTACTATGTGACCCTTTACAGAAAGTTTGTTGACTACTGTTCTAATAGGGAGTAATATGCTTGGCACCATGATAAAGCATGTTGCATGCATTATCATACTCGATTTGGGGGACAATTATCTGATAGAAGCTCTATTAGTCCCGCTATTGGTAAAATGTGCAACTCATGTTCAGAATGGTTAGTAATTCAAATAAAGTCACACAGTCAATAAATGGCAAAACTGGGACCCTATCCCATGTCTGTAAGATTCAATAGCCAGTGTATTTAGCTATCACGTTACAGACCAGGTGCTTCTCACACTTGAATTTACACACTGATTACCTGGGATCTTGTTAAAATGTTAAAATCCATTAATTCAATAGATCTGGAGTGGGGGCTGGCCTGAGAATGTACATTTCTAACAAGCTTCCAGGTGGTGATGATGCTGGTGGTTTGCAAATCACAGCCTTTATAGTGATCAGTGATTCCCAACCTTGGCTGCACATTAGAATCTTCTGAAGAAACTTTTGTAAATGTGATGCCCAGATCCCACTCCTACAGATTCTGATTTAATTGGCCCTAGACCTAGAAATCAGAAATTTTTTAAAAAGCTTTCCTGGTGATTCAAATATACAGCCAGGGTTGAGAATTACTATTATACTGAAATCTTATTGAACTTGGTGAAAACATACAAACAAGAATACCAAGGCCGAAGTTCTAGTTCTAACTCAGGTATGACACGTCTAAGCAAATTGTTTCTCCTCTCTGGGGCTCTAGTTTTCTTTGCAGGTGAAAAATGAGGAATCTCAAACCAGATGTCTTAGAGGGCTCAAGATCACAGACATGTCAGGTCCTTACACAAATAGGTGGGAGGTTCAGAAGAAGTATCCACTTTCCCCAATGTGTTAGGTATATCAATATGATGCCCAAACACTAGGTTCATTTAGGATAAAGCTTACTGTATCATGTGTGAAAGGTTTCTACATAGCCAGGCTGCCTTACACACCACACAGCTAGAACTGCAGTTAGAATGACGATTTAATGATTGTGAGAGTAATACATGTTTCGTTGTAGGACATTTGGAAAATTATGAAAAGTTTAAGAAGGAAAACCTCAAAACACTCACAATCCCTAGAACTGTATTTTTAACAGCCTCAGCCAAGTAAATAACATGGTAATCAAATGATTTCCCACAGGAGCAGGGGGTCACCCTGGCGGGGAGCCTCCCCAACAAAAGTCCTAAAGGTTAAAGCCCTATTATTATATCTCTGGTAAATGCAGCTCCAAGCCTGGACACCTAGCGTGGGCACTTATTGGAAGCATGGGAACTGCAGCCTATAAACTAGATAATTTATAAACTGTGACAGTGCTTTCATGTCTAATTGGTACCCAGATACTCTCAGTTTCTTCCTCTGTAGATTACCCACTGTGAAAACTTCTCCTTAACATTTCTGCACTACTTTTGAAGCCTGCAGGTGAAAGATGTTAGATAAGGCTTAGCCCTTTGCTTTCAGTGAGATTAAGTGGGGTGACCCAGATCTTTACCTCTTTAGAAATGCATATGGGAAGCATTAGTGCATAATGTAAGAAGAGGCTGGGAACAGATAGTTCTGGGTTCAAATCTAGCCAATGCCTCTTAATAGTCATTTTCTCAATCTGTGAACAGAGATGATAATCATATACCCACTTCACAGAGTTTCTCTGAGGATTTAATGACAAAGTGTATGGAAAACACTGAGCACAGTGTTTGGAACATAGGGAGCACTCAGAAAATTGTACGATGATAATGATTATTAATAATAAAAATAATAAAACTTAGCCTCTTTAGGGTATGGCTACCTTCAGGACAGAATCAGATACATGTCCTTTTTGCTTGTCTTATAGATGGATTGCTCTTTGTGGAAATACTGAATGCTAAAACATACAACAAGACTAGTGCTAGCTCTGTCACCATGGAGGTGTTACTTCGTGCCAAGTGTTTTCAGCGCCTTGCAATTCCTGGTTCTATGAGAGCATTGCATAAAGACTATAGAACAGCAACTCCTCAGAATTTCTCCAGCTATGAATCCATGAAGCAGGACTTCAAACTGGAGATTCCAGAGTATTTCAACTTTGCTAAAGATGTCCTGGACCAATGGACCAATATGGAAAAGGTATGGATCAAGGGCCAGTCAGACTACAATTTCTCAACTGGGAGCGATTTTGCCCCTAGGGACATTTGGCAATGTCTGGAGACTTTTTTGTGGCCATGATGGATAGGGGAGGTGCTTTCAGGTATAAGTGTTTGCTACTGGCATCTAACAGGGATATTGTTAAATATCCCGTAATGCACAAGACAGCTTCCAATACAAAGAATTATCTGACCCCAAATGCCACTAGTTCCATGGTTGGTTGAGAAAGCCTGGGTTAAATAATTCTTGATATAAGGATTGATATAATTCTAAGTTGATTTTTTTTTTAACAGAAAGGAGTGAAAAGTGATTCTAAGAGTCAGAAATGGTAAGAAATGAGGCATAGATATGGCATTGAGAGAAATTTAAAGAGATGTAAGAATTCTAATCTTTTGGAAAGAAAAATGATCAGGCTAAATGAGAAATGACATGGCTACTAATATCTGGAAATAAGGACCTGAGACTATTTTTTTCTATTATTTTTAATTGACATGTAATAATTATACATATTTATGGGGTACAAGTCAGGGTAATTAGGATATCCATAACCTCAAACACATATCATTTCTTTTGTGTTGGGAACATTCAAAATCTTCTCTTCTAGATTTCTGAACATATACAATAAATTATTATTAATTATATTCACCCTAAAGTGCTATGGAACACTAGAATTTATTCCTCCCATCTAGCTACAATTTTGTATCCATTAACCAAACTCTATCTTCCCTTCCCCTCTACCCTTCCCAACCTCTAATAACCATAATTCTACTCTCTACTTCTGAGTTCAATTTTTTTAGCACCTATATATGAGTGAGAACATGCAGTATTTATGTTTCTGTGCCTGACTTACTTAAGATAGTATCCTTTAAGTTCATACATGTTATCATGAATAACGGGATTTCATTCTTCTTTATGCTGAATACTATCCATTGTGTACATATACACCACATTTTTTTATCCATTCATTTGTTGATAGACATTTAGGTTGATATATTGTGGGACTGATAAATCATATGGTGGTTCTAGTTTTAGTTTTTTTGAGAAACCTCCATATTGTTTTCCACAATGGTTGTACTAATTTATATTCCCACCAATAGTGTATGAGAGTTCCTTTTTCTCCACATCCTCGCAAACATTTGTTATAGTTTCTCTTTCTGATAATAGCCATTCTAACCGGGGTGAGGTGAAAAAGTGGTTTGGATTTGCATTAGCCTGATGATTAGTAATGTTGAGTATATTTTCATATATTTTTTGGCCATTAGTATGTCTTCTTTGGAGAAATATCTATTCAGATATTATGCCCATTACTTATTGGGAATTTATTTTTTGTTGTTGAATTCTTTGTATATTCTAGATATTAGTCCCTTGTTGTGTGAAAAGTTTGCAAATATTTTCTCCCATTCTACATGTTGTTGCTTCATTCTGTTGATAGTTTCCTTTGCTGTGCAGCTTTGTAGTTTGTTATAGTCACATTTGTCTATTTTTGTTTTTGTTGCCTATGTTTTCATATCCATAAAATATTTACCTAGACCAATGTCCTGAAGTGTTTCCCATTTTCTTCCATAGTTTAGGGCCTTACACTTAAAGACTTACAGTCTTTAATCCAGTTTGAGTTGATTTTTGTATATGGTGAGAGTTAGGGGTCTAGTTTCATTCTACTGCATATGGATATCCAGTTTTCCAAGTACCATTTATTGAAAAGGATGTCTTTTACCCACTGTATGTTCTTTGCACCTTTGTTGAAAATTAATTGGCTGTGAGTATGTGGATTTACTTTTGGATTCTCTATTCTGATTACATTGGTTTATGTGTCTATTTTTATTTTTTATTTTTTTTTTTGCCACCCCTATGTGTCTGTTTTTAGATCAGACCTTGTTGTTTTGGTTACTATTGCTTTATGACATATTTTGAAGTCAGGTAGTACAATGCCTCCAGCTTTGTTCTCTTTGCTCAGTACTGTTTTGGCTATTGGGGGTCTTTTGTGGTCCTATACAAATTTTAGGATTGTTTATTTTTATTTTTGTGAAGAATTCATGGGTATTTTGATAGAGATTACATTGAATCTGTCGGTTGCTTTGGGTAGTATGGTCATTTAAATAATATTAATTATTCCAATTCATGATCATGGAATGACTTTTCATTTGTGTCCTCTTCAGTTTCTTCATCAATTTTTTTCCAGTTTTCATTGCAGAGGTCTTTCATTTCCTTGGTTAACTTTATTTCTAAGTGTTATTTTTGTAGTTATTGTAAATGGGATTGCTTTCTTGATTTCCTTTTCAGATAGTTGATTATTGGCACATAGAAATGCTATTGATTTTTGTATTGCGCAACTTTGCTGAATTTGTTTATCAGTTCTAAGAGGTTTTTGGTGGAGCCTTTAGGTTTTTCTATATATAAGATCATGTTGTCTGAAAAGAAGGACAATTTGACTTCTTCTTTTCCAATTTAGATGCCCTTTATTTATTTATTTTTTCTCATGTCCTGGACAATAGTTCATAGATGCCTTTATTTCTTTCTCTCCAGTACTACGTTGAATAAGAGTGATCAAAGTAGACATCTGTGTCTTGTTCTAGTTCTTAGAGAAAAGGCTTTCTCTTTTCCCCCACTTGATATGAGGCTAGTTGTGGGTTCATTATATATAGTCTTTGCATTGGAGTATGTTCCTTTTATACCTAATTTGTTGAGAGTTTTTATCACGAAGAGATATTGAATTTTTTTGAGGGTTTCTAATGTTCAATTAACGTGTGAATTTCTCAACCTCTCAGTCATCAGGAAAATGAATATTAAAACCAAAATGAAGCCACAAGTTAGCAGATGGGTAACCATTAAGAAGTCTTACAATCCTAGGTGTTGGTGAGGACGCTAATAGTACGAGTGCTGAGAAAAACTCTTTAGAAAGCTCTCAGGTAGCACCCACTAATGCTAAACATACCCATGAGAAGCAATTCCATGCCTAGTGGACAGAAATGCTAATGCTCAACCCAAATGATGAGGTGAGGACATTCCTAGTGATGTGACCTGTGACAGCCACATAATGAAGGCAGCAAATGCCCATCTCCAGCAGGTTGGAAGTGACAGTTGGGTAAGTTACAGTACATTTGCTGGCAGAAGGAAACCAGTGATAAAGACCAACTAGCCACTGCTCTGGGCCATCCAGACCCATGGTATCTGCAGGACTTTGCAGACATAACCTCCTAACTCCCTATAAATCTAGTAATGACCTGGGGCCTGAGTCTTGTCCACAAAATCATCCCCCTTGTGGTGCCTAGAGACAGAGTCAACCCCCTTGTGGTGCCTAGATGTGGTAGTAAAGACCAAGGATCCCTCAAAGGGGTCTTGCAGTGAGAGGAGCTCTATAATATCATGGAATAACCAAGTGTTTGGTGAGAAGTCACAGGCATAGTCTAAGGCCATAATGGGCCTAGGGTTGGGTCTAGGGCATGGCCTGGGGCTGGACCTGGACCTGGGATTGGGCCCATGAATACTCTCGGGGGTGGGGGGGAGGGGCTGGGAATGGACCTATGCCTGAGGCTGGAATTGGGCCTGGAACAAACAGGATGCCCTCCTGGGTGCCATACCCAGCCCCCCACAACTACTCCTTGGTCAAGGCTATAGATGGTGGGTTCTACTACTGGGAAAATTCCTGAGGGGCTGGAGAGAAAAGGGCTCTGGAAACCTGGGCCCTGCAGTAATATGGGGTTCAGAGGGGCAGGGACTCTAGGACAGATGGGTACAGTATAGGCTCTGCAGCTTCTGTGGCCTCACCACCCCAGTAATTGCTGGAATTGTTGCTGGAGCTGCTATAGAGAGTATTTGGCCTGGCAGTTCTTGAACCACACCTATACTTGGTACTCCTTCAGGTTGGGTCTTTCCACCAGGGCTTCTTGGTCCTAGTAGGTGGAGTACTTGTTGATCTCATAGTGGTTTTCTAGCTCATACTGCTGTTCCTTGCTATAGGCTGTGAACTCTAGCTGCTGCCTCTTCAAGGGGACTGGGGACAGTATGGGCCCCTGGAAATGATTAGGATCTTCCATCCTGTTCCTCCTGCTCTGTCCTACACATTGGGATATTGAATTTTATCAAATGCTTTATCTGCTTCTATTGAGATGATCACAGTTTTTATAGTTCATTCTGTTGATGTGATGTTAATTTGTGTATGTTAAACCATCCTTGCATTCCTGAGATTAATCCCACTTGGTCATGGTGTACTATCTTTTAAATATGCTATTGGAGGCCGGGCGCGGTGGCTCATGCCTGTAATCCTAGCACTCTGGGAGGCCGAGTCGGGCGGATTGCTTGAGGTCAGGAGTTTGAAACCAGCCTGAGCAAGAGTGAGACCCTGTCTCTACTATAAATAGAAAGAAATTAATTGGCTAACTAATATATATAGAAAAAATTAGCTGGGAATGGTGGCACATGCCTGTAGTCCCAGCTATTTGGGAGGCTGAGGCAGGAGAATTGCTTAAGCCCAGGAGTTTGAGGTTGCTGTGAGCTAGGCTGATGCCACAGCACTCACTCTAGCCTGGGCAACAAAGCAAGACTCTGTCTCAAAAAAAAAAATATGCTATTTGATTGGCTTGCTAGTATTCTGTTGAGGATTTTTTCATTTACATTCATCAGGGATACCAGCCTATAGTTTTCTTTTTTGTTGTATCTTTGTCTGGTTTTGGTGTTAGGGCAATCTGCTCTCACCAAATGAGTTAGGAAGAATTTCCCTCCTTTTCTTCAATTTTTTGGAATGGTTTGTGAAGAATTTGTGTTAGTTCTTTAAAGTTTGGTAGAATTTAGCAGGTAAAGCTATCTGATCACAAGATTTTCTTTGATGGGAGATTTTTATTACTGAATCATTCTTGTTTTATTACTGAATCATTCTTTATTACTGACCATACATGTTATTGGTCTGTTTAGGTTTTTTATTTCTTCATGGTTCAATCTTGGTAGGTTATACATGTCCAGGAATTTATCCATTTTCTCCAGGCATATATTTGTCCTTAGTAGTCTCTAATAATCCTTTGAATTCCTGTGGTATCAGTTGTAACATCTCCTTTTTTTTTTTTTTTTTTTTTTGAGACAGAGTCTCACTTTGTTGCCCAGGCTAGAGTGAGTGCTGTGGCGTTGCTGTGTTGATCTTTTGGGATTTTTTTTAAACCTCAATTTCATTTATTTCTGCTCTTAACTTTATTATTTCTTTCCTTCTACTAATTCTGGGCTTGGCTTCTTTTTGTTTTTCTAGCTCCTTGAGGTGCATTATTAGAATGTTTACTTTAAATCTTTCTACTTTTTTCGATGTGTTTATTGCTATAAATTTCCTTCTTAGCACTGCCTTTGAAATATCCCATATATTTTAGTACAATTATGTTTCCATTTTCATTTGTTTCAAGAAATTTTTCACTTTGCTTCTTTATAGCTTCATTGACCCAATGGATATTCAGTAGCATATTGTTTAATTTGTATGTGCTCGTACACTTTCCAAAGTTCTTCTTACTATTGATTTCTAGTTTTATTCCATTGTGGTCTGAGAAGATACTTGCTATAATTTTAATTTTAAAAAATTTGTTGAGACTTGTTTTGTGCTGTAACATATAGTCTGTTCTGGAGAATGTTCCCTGTGCAGATGAGAAGAATGTGTATTTTCTAGCTGTTGGATGAGATGTTCTGTAAATATCTGTTAGATCCATTTGGTCCAAAGTATAGTTTAAATCCAATGTTTCTTTGTTAATTTTATGTCTTGATGATCTGTCTAATACTGAGAGAGGGGTGTTGAACTCTCTACTATTGTATTAGGGGCTATATATCTGTTTAGATCTAATAATATTTGCTTTATATATCTGGATGCTCTGTTATTGGGTACATATTTATAATTGTTATATCATATTGTAATATAAATATATTAATATAATTGTTAGGTAATGAGCCTCCTTTTTTATGTTATTTGAATTAAGGTCTATTTTTTAAATATAAGTATAGCTACTCCTGCATGCTTTTACTTTCTATTTGCATGAAATATTTTTTCCATCTCTTTATTTTCAGTCTACCTGTGTCTGAAGTGAAGGGAGTTTCTTGCGGGCTATAGTTGGGTCTTGGTTTTTATAATCTATTCAGCTAGTCCCTATCTTTTAATTGGGGAATTTAAACCATTTACATTCAAGGTTATTGATAGATGAGGACTTACTCTTGTCATTTTCTTAATTGTTTTTTATGTTTTTAATACTCTTTGTTCCTTTCTTATTATTTATTTTTGCACTTTGGTGGTTTTCTGTAATAATAGCATTTGATTCCATTATCTTTCTCATTTGTGTAACGGTTCTACCAGTGAGTTTTATACTTTCATGTGTTATAATGGTAGCTATCATCCTTTTGCTTCTAGGTATAGGACTCCCTTAAGCAAGTTCTCATCAGGCCAGTCTAGTGGTGATGAATTCCCTCAGTTTTTACTTGGCTGAGAAAGACTTTATTTCTCCTTCATTGCTAAAGAATAGCTTTGATGGGCATGGCTGGCAGTGTTTATTTTTTTTCTTTCCTCCCCCAGTGCTTTGAATATATTAACATCATCTGATATACACTGATGAGTACTGGCCACCTCTAGTCAGCCATCTTGATTACATCTTGCCCAGAATTATTTCCAAATATTCTATTCATGTCCTTACTAATGACCTGTGAATTTTCTTTGGAGAATATATTCTATTAAGTCAGCTGAAACAGAACTTAACTGTCTAACAACCTTTAAATCTATGACTGGATTGTCTTTCCTCAGGCTGGTAAGAAACCTTCCAATCCAGCCTTCTGGTGGATCAATGGGAATGGAGAAGAAGTGAGGTGGAGTTTTGAGGAACTGGGATCTTTGTCCAGGAAATTTGCCAATATACTTACAGATGCCTGTGCTCTGCAAAGGGGAGATCGAGTAATTGTGATTCTGCCCAGGATCCCAGAGTGGTGGCTTGCAAACGTGGCCTGTCTTCGAACAGGTTAGTAATATGTGCAATGTAATCATATTTAAACTAAGCTGGATAAGAGATTTTCCAAAACTTTTAAGTAATCATGAGACATTTATTTGGGTAAATTATTTGAAGAAGAACTGTATGTAATATAATACTAATATTATTCTCAGGAATCTTAGAAACATGTTGATCTAAACTAGAAGTTGGGTTTTTCATAATCAAATAGATTCATTAAATGATTGTTAATCAACATTAAAATACCTTCATACTTACTCCCCCTCTCCTCCTATGGGATCCATGGTCATCTGAAACTCAATGCATCTTAAACAGTTCTTGTTTCATGCCTTTGTTCCTTTCATGGTTAATCCATCTGGTGTCCTAAGTAGCCACCTGCAAATCCTTCCTAATAAGTTCTTGCATCTTATAAATTTGACCTCCTAAATGCCTCCAAGGTTCCTCCTCTTCTCCAAATTCTTTGCCATTGCCTTACTTAACATCTTTATTATCTCCTGAATGGATTTCCCTAAAATCTCCCTAATTCTGGTTTTGGGTGTACTGACACCTCATCCAAATCCAATTAATCTTCCCTAGCCAGTGTTTTTTCTAGCAAATTTATCCTGTCATTTGCTGTTGGATCATTGCCTCCCCATTGCCTACTAGATAATATCTGAACATTTTAGGTGTATCATGGAAAACTGTAGCCATTTTCCCTTTATGGTTTTAATTTCTCCACCTTTACACTCCATGCTCCAGCTGTGCCAAATGGTTTCCTAGAAGGTTTGTGATCATTCCCATCTCCTGGCTTTTCTGCACACTTTTCCTATGCTTGGAAAGCCTTTCCATCATACCTACCCACCTAAATAACTCTTACTAGACTTTCAAGTCTCAGCTCTAATGTTACCTTCTAAGATAACCCCACCCTGATATCCCAACCTGAGTACTTTCTTTGAGCTCTCCAAAGCAACACATATGCATTTCCAATTTAACAGGTACTATATTGTGTGGTTATACGATTTGCTTATAAATCTGTTATTCCCACAAGACTATATAAGCTCCTAAAAGGCCATGACTATGATATATATTCATCTCTGCACACCCACTGATTGGCATATAGAAAACTTTCAGTAAAATATTTGTTTTTTTTTGAGACAGAGTCTCGCTTTGTTGCCCATGCTAGAGGAGTGCCATGGCGTCAGCCTAGCTCACAGCAACCTCAAACTCCTGGGCTCAAGCAATCCTACTGCCTCAGCCTCCCGAGTAGCTGGGACTACAGGCATGCGCCACCATGCCCGGCTAATTTTTTCTATATATATTAGTTGGCCAATTAATTTCTTTCTATTTATAGTAGAGATGGGGTCTCACTCTTGCTCAGGCTGGTTTCAAACTCCTGACCTTGAGCAATCCACCTGTCTTGGCCTCCCAGAGTGCTAGGATTACAGGCGTGAGCCACCACGCCAGGTCTGTAAAATATTTGTTAATTAATAGTCTTATTATCATAATAAATCATTATATTAAGCAACCATTCTTAGTTTATTATAATCATTACTTCCATTTGAGGAGAGTTAATATATTCTATTTCATATATACATATGAATTACACATGGGAGTATCAGAGCCAACTTTTAAGCAGTTTTTTAACAAAATGATTGCTTTCATGAATGCTGCTTAAGCTCACTCTCTTAGTTAGGAACTGTTTGATTGTCAGGACCAGATATCCATTCATATTAGTTCAATATGAAAGGAGAGTTATTATCAGTGTCTATTTATAGCAACTTTGCATATCTCTGTCCTGATCTATTTTATGTTGAGTTTGTAGTTTAGCTCTTGGAAGGCAAGAGCCATTTCTCCAAGTTCTCAGAGAAATCTGTCTCATAGTTCCCAGTGCCAACAACAAGCTCTCATAGTATACTTTAATTTTTAAACTGTTTTCTATGTTTCATTTTCTCAAACCTACAAGCTATTTCCTGCCCCAGGGCCTTTGCATATGCTTTCCATTCGACTAGAGGGTCTAAACCCTTTCAATGTTATGAATAGTCTTCAAATAAAAAATAATTATCCAGCATTTTAATACCCTTTCATGTTAGGTCAAAAGGCTCATAGACTCTGAGATCCCTTGAAAGGCAAAAGCAGATTAAGTGAGACAAATAGATAGATATCTTCCCTGCTATACTGACTCATTCTGAGAAATACAGAAAGTACACACACTAACTACATTACCCTAACTGTTATAATATGATGAAGAATACCTTTCTTTTAAACATTGCTTCTTTTCTGCTCCTTTAGGTACAGTTTTAATTCCAGGAACCACTCAGCTGACTGAGAAAGATATCCTCTACAGACTACAATCTTCAAAAGCAAAGTGCATTATTACCAATGATGTTTTAGCCCCAGCAGTAGATGCTATTGCACCTAAATGTGAAAATCTGCACTCCAAGCTGATTGTGTCTCAGAACTCCAGAGAGGGGTGGGGGAACCTCAAGGAAATGATGAAGTGAGTAGCCATAATTGTTGTATAACAGCTTCCCCAAAAGAAAGACAACAATAAAAAGATATTCAACTCAGTAGTGATCAGAAAAATACAAATTAAAACAACAGGCAAAGGGAACAATTAGTGATTATTGTTACACTAATAGTGCTAGGCTCTGAGGTAGGAAGGAGCTAGGAGTGTTTTCACAGGTTGGAATACCCTAACACAGAGATTGGTGTATACTGTGTTTATTAAGGAATTCTCTTGGGATCAGTACCTGTGAAGGAAGGGGAAGGATGTGGGATTGGGTACAGGGTGAAATTTATCTGCAATGTACTCCCTACAAAGCTCTCAGTCAACCCACTGGGACCTTTGAAGCTCAGACAGTTCCTCAAAGCTGTTTTCAGCTAAAGCTTGAGGTCCTCTGGCTTTTATACACCCACATTGATCAGCAATTGGCTGTGGACTATCACTAGGTGGTGTGGGAGGATGTTTAACAAGGCAGCTCTTTTCAGCCAAGGCAATCTCTAAAGAGGGCTCCCAGCACCAGCAGGGAGGAAGTCCATTCCTTCAGCAGAATCTCAGAAATGCATCACAGCATCAATCAGAGAGCCATTATCATCTCCCAGGGAAATTGACCACATTCAGTCCTTCTGTGTTGGCTATGCCATTCCTTTGTTGACAGCAATACTTATATCAGGTTAAAATAAGAACACCTAATGTTAATGGGTGTAATTATAAAACTGAATTACACTGATGTTCAAGCCCTGCATGAGGTACTTTCAGGGGTTACTTGTAACTCTTGCCAGGTACTGGTTATACCTCAGCATTAGGCTGGCAGCAAAAGTCTTTTACCTTTATTCAAGAATTTGGGAGCATGCTTGTAACTATGGACTCATTTCTACCACCTTTAAGATAGCTAAAGCACTGAGTTCTTATCAAAGGCCAAGTAGTGTTCTAATAAAAATAATATTATAATTGCAGTAATAGTTAACATTTAAATAGGATTGGTTATGTGCCACAAACTGTTTCAAGCACTTCAGATATATTAATTCATTAAAATCTCACAACGAACTAGGAACCTAGGAGGTAGGTACTATAATTACACAGACGAATAAGGTCAAATGCCAGTATCTAGCAGAGGTAGGTTTCAAACCCAGGCAGTATGGCTTCTGAGCCCACACTATTAACTGCCATATTTACTGCCACTAGTAGTAACAGATCAGTACGACAACCCTGCCGTAGGTTTTGAGGGCAATCATAACTGTGATAGAAGTGATAGGAATACAGCTATAGATACTATTTTTAATTAAGATAATTATGGAATCATAGACTGAATACCTGGTCTAACTGTGTTAGCTTTGAAAACAGCTTCTCTATATTTCTTATGGCCTTGATGTTTCTGTTTATTCTCAGCCCAATATTCCCAGATAAATCTGTGTGCTTCTTAGACACTTGATATGTACATGTGCAGAGTTTACTCCCTCTCAGCTGCCCTAATGTATGTGTGACTTATATAAAAGCCCAATTATGGCCGGGTTCAGTGGCTCATGCCTGTAATCCTAGCACTCTGGGAAGCCAAGGCAGGAGGATTGCTTGAGCTCAGGAGTTTGAGACCAGCCTGAGCAAGAGTGAGACCCCATCTCTACTAAAAATAATAAAAATAAGCTGGTTGTGGTGGTGCACACCTATAGTTCCAGCTACTCAAGAGGCTAAGGCAAGAGGATCACTTGAGCCCAGGAGTTTGAGGTTGCTGTGAGCTAGGCTGACACGACAGCACTCTAGCCCAGATGACAGAGTGAGACTCTGTTTCAAAAAAAAAATAAAAATAAAAAAGCCCAATTATCCTTTGAAACTAAAGATTTTTTAAATTTTTTATTTCAAGATGTTAAGGAGGGTACAAATGTTTTTGGATACATGGATCATTTTTGTAATGCTTCAGTCATGGCTATAAATGTGCCCATCACTCAAATAGTGTTCATTGTACCTGTTAAATAGGTTTTTGCTCCTCTCCTCCTCCCCCCCACTCCTCCCTGCTTGATTTCCACTGAGTTTTGCTTCCCTCTGTGTACCTGTGTGCTCATTGGTTAGTTCCAATTTAATAGCGAGTACATGTGGTATTTATTTTTCCATTCTTGAGATATTTCACTTAGAATAATGGTCTCCAGTTCCACCCAAATTTTTGCAAAAAGCATTAATTCATCCTTTTTTATGGCTCAGTAGAACTCCATGGTATATACATACCACATTTGATTAATTTACTCATGAATTGATGGCACTTGGGTTGATTCCACAATAAACACTTCAGGTGCAGGTGTCTTTTTGATAAAAAGACTTCTTTTCCTTTGGGTAGATACCCAGTAGTGAGATTGCTGGATCAAATGGTTGGAACTAAAAAGTTTTCTTTCTGACTAGAATCCTTCCTTCACTGGATGGATGCTTAGATCCTCTCCAGCCTTACTGTTTACTGTATCCAGAACTACATAGATTCTCTTGTGGGAACAGAAAAACCATCCTTTCAGGAGTTGGCAAACACTTTCTATAAAAGGGGACAGATAGCAAATATTTAAGCTTTGCAGGCCATACAGTCTCTGTCACAACTACTCAATTTTGCCATGTAGTATGAAAGCAACCATAGATCATACGTCAAAATAGGCAATAAAATTTTATTTACAAAAACAAGAGACAGGCCAGATTTGGCCAGTGGGCTGTAGTTTGCCGACCCCTGCCATTACCCATGACCTCACACTAACAAGTATTGTATTAATATATTCATTTTCAAAACTCACATTTTAAAGTGTCCACAATGGAGGGGAAGGGGAAATTCGTCATATATCCATGATTACAATATCACAGACTCCTTACTATCCTGGGGGTATGATAAAATCCTCGTGTTTTTTAAATGCTTCAATCCTTCTTTATCATACAGTAAAAAAGCTACAAAATCAGCTATTGTAAATTGGCCTTTATACAGAGAAAAATGATTAAATAAATAAATAGGCCTTGGATGGCAACCTTTAGTTTGATTCTAGTAAGCACCTAAAAAGATGGAAAGAGAAAGAGCTTTTACCTGTAATTCAATCTGAGTCACTGGGGCCTGATTCATGAGATGAATAGGTCCAAGTAGATGGTGTCTTGAATCTTTTTAGTGATAACAGTGTATGTTGCTGCGTTTAATGTGCAGAGTCACTGTAGTTTTTCCTTCACAGACATGCCAGTGACAACCACACCTGTGTGAAGACAAAACATAATGAGATCATGGCCATTTTCTTTACCAGTGGAACAACTGGATCTCCTAAAATGACCGGACACACCCACAGCAGTTTCGGCTTAGGATTATCTATAAACGGAAGGTACTTCCACATAACTGCAGAGTGAAGTGTCAAAACAGCAAAGATGATGGTTTATGTACTGGTCTTATAAATTTGTTTTTGTATATGTTGGGCTATTCTTTGTTTTCCCAGGTTCTGGCTAGATTTGATACCCTCAGATGTGATGTGGAATACCTCAGACACAGGCTGGGCAAAGTCTGCGTGGAGTAGTGTTTTTTCTCCATGGATCCAGGGAGCATGTGTATTTTCACACTACTTGCCCCATTTTGAGCCAACTTCCATCTTGCAAGTAAGGCAGAGCACAGGAGGTCAACATTTAGAAATGCATTAGCACTATTGCTGACAGAACTGATGAATAAAATAACTTGCAGAGATCAGAGTAGACAATGTGATTTAAGATGTCACATACAGAAAGTCAATAAGCCTAAAAAGATAAAGTCGGCTCCCTCAATACCTGCAGGTTCCACATCCTTGGATTCAACCAACTATAAATAAAAAATGCTTGGGGAAAAAAATAATCATAGAATAATAAAAGCAATACAAATTAAAAAATACAGTATAACAACTATTTACATAGCATTTACATTGTATTAGGTATTATAAGTAATCTAGAGATGATTTAAAGTATATAGGAGGATATGCATAGGTTACATGCTAATACTACACCCAAGAGTTTACTTTTTCTAAATTGCAGACACTCTCCAAGTTTCCCATCACAGTCTTCTGTTCAGCACCAACTGCATACCGAATGCTTGTACAGAATGATATGACCGGGTAAGAAATGTTGGTAAATAGGCATTTAGTGAGGGAAGGGGAGAAGAGGAAGCTAAAAAACATCTTTCTGCCTAAAAACATAGTTGTAGACTAGTAGCTACAGGCTTTAGCAATCTCTTCCTTGTCCTCCTTCTCCTTCTTGCTTATATTCTGTAAATGATAATTACTGTGTCCAGGGCAGGATCCCCCAAGCAAGGAGAGGAAAGGGAGGGTTTAGCCACATCTATAGCTCTGAGCCCAGTGGTTACAGGTAAGATATTTAATATTTTGGATGATGGTGGTTACCTGAACTGAGAAAGTAGAGAAGTTGCTCCTATTTGGAACCTTATCCCAGTAAATAAAAAAGAGGATACATGTCTTTTAATCTACTGCCGATTCCATTTGAAGGGTGCATTGTTAATCTGAAAAGAAAAAACCAAATCAGATATGAGACATTTTTTTCCCTCCCACCAACCAATTTTCCAACATGAGCTGGGTGTCCTGCAATTTGATTCAATTCTGACACTACTTGCAGTTAGCATCATGTGCCACAGGTGAAGGGCTCAGTCCCATAAGACTGCTCCTTATTTCAAATGCCAATCACAAGTCCAGGTTGTCACCTGTGCTTCTGACCAATTGGCTATAATGCAGTTCCCATGACCCTTCCTCAGGTTCAATAATTTGCTATGATGGCTCACAGAACTCAGGGAAATACTTACATTTACTGGTTTATTGTAAAGGATATGATAAAGGTTACAGGTGAACAGCCAGACGAAGAGGTATATAGGGCAAGGTCCACAAGGGCCCCAAGCATAGAAGCTTCTATTCTCGTGGAGTTGTGGTGTACTACCTTCCTGTATGTGGAGCTCTCTAAACCCTGTATTTCATGGATTTTTTGGAAGCTTCATCACATAGGCATGATTGATTATTAAGTCAATTTCCAGCCCCTCTCCTCTCCCTGAAGGATGGGGGATGGGGTTGAATCATGGCTTAGTCTTTTGGTGACCAGCTCCCCCAATGGGAGCTCCATTGAGAATTGCCTCATTAGAAGAAAAGACACTGCCATCACCCAGAAAGTTCCAAGGGATTTAGGAGAGATCTATGTTAGGAACCCAGTCAAAGACCAAATATTAGAACAAAAGATGCTCCTAGCACCCCTATCACTTAGGAAATTATAAAAGTTTTAGAAGCTCTATGCCTGGAATCCAGGATGAAGACCCAGTACAGGTTGAGTATCCCTTATTCGAAATGCTTGGGACCAGATATGTTTCAGATTTCCTTTTTTTTTTTTTGATTTTGAAATATTTTCATTACACTGGTTGAGCATCCCTAGTCTGAATATCTGAAATCTGAAATGTGCCAATGAGCATTTCCTTTGAGTGTCATGTCAGTGCTCTATAAGTTTCAGGGTTCGGAGCATTTCGGATTTGGGATTTTCAGATTAGGGATACTTGGCCTCTATATATTTCTTGTTATAGGACAACATCACAGGTGAATATTTTTAAATTGATGTGAATTATTTCCTATTAATTTTTGAATAGGAAATAATTCACATGCCTTAAAATCCAATGGGTATATAAAAATGTATAGTGAAAAGTCTTGCTCCATACCTTGTCCCTAGTCATGTAGTTCTCCTCTTCCATGGAGGCACCCTGTGTTTCCAGTTCCTTGTCTATTCTCCCTGAAAATACACAAGCCAATATGCATATGGTCTCTCCCTCTCCATTATAAACATAAATGGTGGCATAATATGCACATAGTTCTACACCTTGTCTTTTTCCCCTAACAATATACATCCTGGCACTGTGTTGTCCAATAAGGTAGCCACTAGCCATAAGTAGTTATTTAAATATAAATTTTAATTAAATAAAATTAAAAATTCAGTTTCTCAGTTGTACTAGCCATTAGCCATGTTTCAAGTGCTTCATGTTCATACAGGGGTAGCATATACTATAGTAGATAGTGCAGATTATAGAACATTTCCATCATGACAGTTATTGGAAAACCCTGTCCAAGAGTTTACCCATTCTTTTTTACACCTGTATAGTATTCCATTGTATAAATATCCCATAGTCAGTTTAACCAAACAATTGATAAACATTTCATTGCTGATTTAAAATGTTATTATGAGTCACCTTCCCTAAGGATAGAATGGCTTTTCTGTTCAACAAATGACAACCCCCTCCTCCCCAAAAAAGGGAGAAAGTAAAAATAAAAATTGATATTTTAATTATCATTTGATAAAGTTAGAATGGCTTATTTTGTATTGGGGAGAGGAATCAGGAAACTAAAATACATTTTATATTGAAGTTCATTAGAAATCATCCTAATTTCCACTTCTCTCCATTTCTCCCCCTAAACCTAACTCATTATCTGTTTTCTGAAAAGGTATAAGTTCAAAAGCTTAAAGCACTGTGTGAGTGCTGGTGAACCAATAAACCCTGAAGTGACTGAACAATGGAGAAACAAGACAGGCCTGGATATCTACGAAGGATACGGACAAACTGAAACGGTATCTAACCTAACTGAAAAGACAGGGCTGAACTCAATTTAGTCAGATGAATAAAAACCCAAGTGTGTATTATAAACTTATGATTGTTTGAGAGAGAGGGCAGGAGTGGAGTGGTTATTAAACAGTTTAAAAAACAAAGCTTGAGGGAAGCTAGTTGCAAAAAAGCTCAATAAAAGATAGTTGTTTAATAGCCATCCATTGAGAAAAACTGTTAATAACTAACCAGTCAGGGTGAAAGCATTACATTGTCTTTGTAAATGAAAAAATACTGGATCTACTGAAAGACAGATTTCCCCCTTATGTGATAGGGAACTTTCTTGGGGCTGTCTCACAATGTCAAATGCTGAGCTCCTTGTTACTTAAGATATTTAAGAGTCTGCTAGACAACTCCTTGGCAAGAATACTCTAAGGTTTTTTTTAAAGAGCTGATAAGAATACATAGAAATAGGAAATGAATAGGAACAAAAGTGGTTATTTTGTAGAAAAGGATGGGGTAACATGGAGCAGATGAGGGAAAGATTGACAAACTTTTTACAGTGTGTCTTTTTATAATGCTTCAATTTATGAACCATGAGAATGTATTACTTGGTCAAATATTAAAATACCAAAAATAAAATAAAAACAAAAATTGAAAACTTTATTAAATAGAAATAGCACAAGTATCATACTAACATGAGTACAAATTTAATATACTCATGTTCTGGCTGGGCCTGGTGGCTCACGCCTATAATCCTAGCACTTTGGGAGGCTGAAGCAGAAGGATTGCTTGAGGCTAGGAGTTTGCAACCAGCCTGGGCAACCTAGCAAGACTCTGTCTCTACAAAAAATACAAAATTTAGCTGAGTGTGTTGGCATGTGCCTGTAGTCCCAGCTACCCAGGAGGCTGCAGCAGGAGGATCACTTGAGCCCAGGAATTTGAAATTGCAGTGAGCTATGATGACACCACTGTACTCTAGCCCAGGCAACAGAGTGAGACCCTATCTAATAAATAAATAAGTAAATAAACAAATAAATATATACACACACTCATGTTTTAATCAATATGGATATTTTAGGCATTGTAATTTTATTATAATTTTATTACATATGTGTATTTGTATATTGTTTATCGCTCTATTCCACAAGAGCAGAAACTGTTTATTGAGCCTAAGTCATAGTAAATTGTTGAATGTACTTGTTGAATGAATGCATGGTGGATGAATGAATGAATCAATTTTAAGTTACTTATAATGTTACCTTACTTTTTATTCTTCTTAACTAGGTGCTAATCTGTGGAAATTTTAAGGGAATGAAAATTAAGCCTGGCTCAATGGGAAAGCCTTCTCCTGCTTTTGATGTTAAGGTTTGCACACCCCCTTCCTCGAGAATGTTTAACAACCCAGTCTGTTTGTGAACTATCCCTCAACGCCTTATACACTCTCCTTGTTTTAGTAACGATGCCATGTTACTTCCATGATACCTTAATCTCCATGAAAAGATGAAAGTGGGTTAGAAATGTTAGCTTATTGGTCTCCATTATTTTGCAAATACCTTTGTTGTATCATGCAGTTCTTTAATAAATATTAGCTCATTTAATTCTCAGAAGGAACCCATGAGAGACATGCTAATATTAAAATCATTTTACAAATGAGGCAAAAGGAGGTTAAGGAACTCACCAGAGGTCACATAGCTAGCTAGAGTTGGGATTCTATCCTAAGCTGTCTGTCTCCAACATCCTGGTTAACAACACAACACTGCCTCTTCAGGTTAAGGGAGGTTAAGACTTCTTGAGGAGGTCAGCTAGGCCACAGAAGCCTACAGTTTATAGTGCCTGCAGCACCCTCCCTCTTTGCCCCCAGACTGCCTGGCCATTTCTAGGCTTTCAGCAACCACTGCCATTATTGGCATCTGATGCCCAGTGGGCATTCTATTTCCCCATTGGCATACTTTGTACCAGGGTTAAAGTTGTTCTCAGCTCGACCAAGCTTCAAAGCTAGGTATAGCCAAAGGAACTTACACTAATAAAGATGATCCTCAACTTTAAAAGGAGTTACATCCCAATAAACCCATTGTAAGTTGAATATATCTTAAGTTGAAAATGCATGGCTGACTGGGAGCTGTGGTCACTGCTGCTGCCCAGCATTGCAAGAGGTCACTGCTGCTGCCCAGCATTGCAACGATTTCTAATGAATGGTTATTGCTTGCACACTATCCTAAAGTTGGAAAATCATGTCAAATGGTCTTAAGTTGGAGACCATCTGTATGTAAGAGAAAGCAATAGCAGCAAAAAATGAATGCATTAACAGAGTAGAGAGCTCTTAGATCGATGTTTCACGTTTCACATTTATTTCACAATAAATGCTGCTACTATTATTCACCTCTCCCTCCCATTCCCTTCCTTTGAAAAGCTTTTCTTAAAAAAGAAATGGTAGGAGAAGCCTAGTTATATTCTTAACAATAGTTTATTGGTTAATAGGCTGCCTTAGGTTGGGGAAAGAAATATTGATAATGAGGCATGATCATGTCTGCATTATAGGTAAGCTGACATTTCACATAGCTATGTTCTTTTTCTTCCCCCCTTAATAACATTTCCTAACATGCAAGGCTATCAGAGTCTCACAGACATAACTGTACTCACAGTGATCCCAATGGCGATGTACTTCTGCTGGGCCCTCACTAATTATAGCTCAGTGGTTTTCTGGAGTAGTTATCTTTCGATGTAAAACTGATATAACTGAGAAGAAAATGGCACTCTGCTTGCATCCCCAATCATCATTGCTACCTTCATTTTTAACTCTTCCCCAAGGGCTGTTATTACTGGGCTTCTTGTTATTTAGCTAGGAGCATCTGCAATAACATTCTGTCATCTGGGGATGTGCTCCAACCAGCTGAATATCAGATTCCAACAACTTCAAAGCCTAATGCTTATAATTTTCATGTTTAAACATTTTAAAACCTCTTGAACAATGAGGAACATGATTCTCCCCAGAGATAGAAGATGTTATCTGTTTTCCCATCTACTAAAGAATAGTCTGTGATAAGTAATTGGAACTCTTAACACATTTCCTTTCCATGAATAATTCCTTTATACCTAGGGCCAAATATTTCTTTAGATGACTGGTGGGAATTTACATTTTTTTATTTGCAAGAGCTTAAAATTAAGAAATTAATTAATCTTAAAATTAAGATTTCCTTTGCCATTCACATTTCTCATTTGGCACATAAGCCTCTTTTCTTCTGGAAAATGCCAGGTGAGTATTATACTTACTCTCCATTCAAGCTACACCTCAGATTTGAAGGCATTAATACCTGGTGGCATATAAAAACAGTAGAGTTTGATATTTAGAAATAGCTGAAAGTCATTTAGAATAAAATCTGGTTTGTAAAATAAGCAATCAACTTGAGTAGTGCTAATCTAGAATTTTAAAAAATGGATTTAACTCTCTAGAGACATTGCATAGAGGAATGTGATGATTAAAAGCATATGATATGGAGTGTGACTGCTGAGATTTGAATTCTAGCTCACTCATGTACTATGTTACTTACACTCTCTGTACCTCAGTTTCTTCATATGTAAAATGGGTGTAATAATAGTTCTAATCATATAGGATCATTGTAAGGATTAAAGTACATGTAAAGGTCTGGGTGTGAGACCAAGGTGGAAGGATTGCTTGAGGCAAGGGTTTGAGACCAGCCTGAGCAACATAGTGAGACCTTGTCTCTAAAAAAAAAAAACTTTTAAAAATTAGCTGGGCATGGTGGCACATACCTGTAGTCCTAGCTGCTGGGGAGGCTGAGGCAGGAGGATCACTTGAGCCCAGGAGTTTAAGATTACAGAGAGCTATGATGACACCACTGCACCCTAGCCTGGATGAGACCCTGTCTCAAAAAAACAAGCAAACAAACAAACAAAGGAAAAAAAGTACATGTAAAGTACTTACAGCTTTAGCATTTATTATTTTGCATGTAGTAAATGCTTAGTAAATGCTAGCTACTATCAGGTACTTCAGGGAACCCTGAGGATTGGAGAGAATAAGACGGCAAGGCTTTGGCCTTGAGACCCACCACTGTCTCAACCAGAGAACATTCCCCCTTTCCTGTTCACTTATATTGGGTTTCTGAAGTAAGGTTTTGTATATTCCACAGCTAAACAAAGTTTTAAAAACTAGTAATGAAGATATTTATTTATTGAGAGGAAAAGACATTCAAGATATATTGCTAAATGATAAAAGCAGGTTGTAAAACTGTATACTATAAAGCAATCCTATTTTTTCCATGTCAATATTGTATCAAAGGATATTACCAAAATGTGATTATTGTAGGATGGTAAAGTTTAAGAAAATTTTTATTCTTCTTTCACATTTTGGTAACCTGTATTTGATAATATTTATGTAATATGAATTTAAATAAATAAATATACATATATATCTTAGGAATTTAAAGTCTACTTAAAATGTTTTTGAAGTCTGCATGCTTAAATAACGACAACAACAACAAAAAACATGCAAAGTTAAGGTAGAAGAAGTGACATTAAATAAAAATTCCCTTAAATAAATTGTTCTGTTTTATCCTAGATTTTAGATGCACATGGCAATATTCTACCTCCTGGAGAAGAAGGAGATATTGGCATTCGAGTTCTACCTAACCGACCATTTGGCCTTTTTACTCATTATGTAGTAAGAGACTTATTACTAATAAATAATCTCTTATTTTCTATTTATTTCTCAAAAATGCTTGGTAACTGAAAGAGTGTGAAATTCAGATGTGGGCAGAGAAAGATTTTTCACACAAAGATTAGGATATAAAGATGTAAAAAAAGAGAGAGAGGTAGAAAGAGAAAGAAAATGGCATAGCAAGAATGAAGGTGGAAAGGTGTTGGCAGTTGAGGAAAAGCTGTTCTGGCTTTTAAAAGGTAAAAATAGTTCTTTTTTCTTTGCTGTAGACTGGTAACAGAAGCACCCACGGAAGCTATTCTTTATTTTTTGCTTTTTCTGTGAGGCCAGGTTATCTGAGTCCTTGAAATGTGTTTTTGACAGGAACTGAGGCAGAGAGTTGGAGAGGGGACAGTAGGGGACACCCCTACTGTCTGCTTAGGGCTCTTCAAGGCTGAGAAAATGAGTTAGGCCACAGGTGTTTTAATTAACCGGGAGAATGAGTTAGGCCACAGGTTTTAATTTAACAAAACAAAGAGGGTAGTTGTGTTGTTTCTTCTTTAAAGGGGCAATTATGTGTTGTGAGTTCATTTTCCTTACTTTCTGTTTGGAGTTTATTTTCCTCTGTTAGATAGGTTATTAGTAAGGTCACCTTGCAGTAACTAACCCTATTAGCTACAAAACACACCTAGGATAGGTACTTGACCCTTTCTTGAAAAATTCATTGTCCTGAATAGTAATCCCACAGACAGGTAATTGAAGAAACATCCAAATGCTTCCTAAAGAAGATCATGCTGGTTGCCTGAGGCTACATCACTGTTTCAGGCCCAGGAAAGCCAGAGGAAGAGAACCAAAACAGAAGGCAACCTCTTAATATCAGTAGATCCTCTCAATTACCAAACAAGACCCACTTATTTTTCTGAAATCTGATCAGTGCTCTCCCTTCTTGGGAGCAGGGAGAGGGACAGAGAATGGGGCAGTGGGATTAATTAAATTTCTTTCACTAGAGCCTTTCTGAACTCCTTACTGTTTGCAAGCAGCTTTTCATCTCTAATCACAGTATACAAATTAGAGCAAAGTCTTCATCAATATAATAAAAGGTTGATTCTTCTTGCCAGTGAACAATATTTCATTCATTTTTCTTATACCAAAGTTACAGAACCATTTCTGTTTTTTTTTTTTTTTTGAGACAGAGTCTCACTCTTTGCCCGGGCTAGAGTGCTGTGGTGTCAGCCTAGCTCACAGCAACCTCAAACTCCTGGGCTCAAGCAATCATCCTGCCTCAGCCTCCAGAGTAGCTGGGACTACAGGCATGTGCCACCATGCCCAGCTAATTTTTTCTATATACTTTTAGTTGGCCAATTAATTTCTTTCTATTTATGATACAGATGGGGTCTTGCTCTTTTTCAGGCTGGTTTCGAACTCCTGACCTTGAGCGATCCGCCTTGGCCTTCTTGAGTGCAAGGATTACAGGAGTGAGCCACAGCACTGGGCCTCAGTATTAGATTAGCAAAAGATTTAATTTAGCCTAATGCTCTGAGCTCCTACAATATTTATTTTGTGATCCATCTAAGAAAATTCTCAGGATGGAAGCATGCCTAGTCTTTGTAGTTTACCTTTCTTCTGTTGGGCTAGCTCCCTGCTGGGATTTCATCCCTATTTCACATTCTGGCTCTTCTTCATTCTAAGGCTTCTCAAAAGACCCACAATTTTCCTTTTCCTTGAACATCTAAAAATCTAATTGATCATAATAGTCAGATTCCTGATAATATTAACAAAATGCTATTTGTTTTGCAGGATGATCCTTCAAAAACAGATTCAACTCTACGAGGCAATTTCTATGTCACTGGGGACAGAGGGTATATGGATAAAGATGGATATTTCTGGTTTGTTGCAAGATCAGATGATATCATATTATCTTCTGGGTAATTTTCTTTTCCAATTTTGCAAGTCTGGGTTAACTGATCATCAGCGTTCTGGAACGAACTGCTCACCTTTATAAATTACTACTATATGCCTTCCCAGTTACCGAATTGGACCATTTGAAGTAGAAAGTGCCTTGATTGAGCACCCTTCGGTTGCAGAGTCAGCTGTTGTCAGCAGTCCAGACCCCATCAGAGGAGAGGTAAAACAACTGATTCATCTCAACTTTATCATTTATTGGCAGTCTAATGCATGCTTTTAAACAGTAATTCACTGAAACAGGATTACCCAAATGATTCATTCACTAAATATGTAAGTCATTTAGAAATTCATTTACTAAATGCAAGTCAGATAGAAATATGCTAGTTTGGCCAGGTGCAGTGACTCATGCCTGTGATCCTAGCACTCAGGGAGGCCAAGGTGGGAGGACTGCTCAAGGTCAGGAGTTCGAAACCAGCCTGAGCAAGAGCGAGACCCACCTCTACTAAAAATAGAAAGTTGGCCAATTAATATTGGCCAACTAAAAATATATAGAAACAATTAACCGGGCATGGTGGTGCATGTCTGTAGTCCTAGCTATTCAGGAGGCTGAGGCAGAAGGATTGCTTGAGCCCAGGAGTTTGAGGTTGCTGTGAGCTAGGATGATGCCACGGCACTCTAGCCCAGGCAAGAGTGAGACTCTGTCTCAAAAAAGAAAAAGAAATATGCTATTCAGAAAATACTGCTACTGAATAAGACTGAAACATATGTATTAAAAAGAATGTGAATACTTTCCATGGAGGAGTGAGGCAAAGATAGTGTGAATGCCAATAACCCCGGTGCACATCAGCATGGGATGCCAGAAGTCAGCGGGATAGAATCAAGTTGCTACCCAAAAAAGTCTGGAAACCAACAAGGTCCTTGGTATAGTTGAGCAAGATGGGCTGGCACCAGATATAGGGGTGGCATCAAGGTCAGAGGCAGGGACCTGACACAACTGTAAGCAGGCTGGGTAGATAGATAAATAGAGATTTCAGGAAATAAACTATGAATAAGACAGGAGTCCTAAAAGCCCACTCCTACTGAGGCTGACGACCTAGTTGTTTGGGCTTAAAGGTATGCCATTTTTCAGGCAGAGATAATCAGAAACAGGTCAGAAAATAGATTTCAAGATATAGTTAGATTCAGATAGTTAGGGTTCAAGCGTAGATCATAAACAAAGCAAGGGTCCCAAGAAGCACTCTTGTATTAGGTACAGACCGGAGGTGTGTAGGAGTCAATTGGCTGGCTTAAGAGCACAGAGCTGGGATCAAATTCTGTTAAACACTCCAGCCCACCCCATCAGGCACTTAGATTCCCAGTTAGAGGAAGCAAACAAGCCATACTAAAACATAAAAATACACAACTCATCTTCTTGGTGTTTCAAATATTTATTTTAGGTAGTAAAGGCTTTTATTGTTCTGAACCCTGATTACGAGTCACATGATCAAGAACAACTTAAAAAGGAGATTCAGGAGCATGTAAAAAAAACTACAGCACCTTACAAATATCCCAGAAAGGTAGGCATCCTAATTATGATGAATATTCGTTCAGAATTCTAGAAAATTTCAGCTGTTTGTGTTTTCCTTTTTATTGAATATGAATATTTTCCTCAAACATGCTATACCAAATGTTCCAAACTGAACTAATGACATATAGATAAGAATAAGAATCTTTGAAATTAAATTGAAACCGCTAACCTAATTTGTTTGGTCATTTGGCTTGCTGGACTTGTAGAAAATCCGAAATATCAAGAAAAATCTCCTCAACAATTTCCCCCCATCCCTTTTTTGGTTGTTACCCCAAACTCATGCCCAATGAGTACCCTAATTCTTTCACCCAGAATTCAAATAACTGCTATATAATTGGCTTTCATCTAAAGATGAAAACTTCTGGGCTAACTTTCTTCTCCTTGATATCAACAGGTAGAATTTATTCCAGAGCTGCCAAAGACTGTCAGTGGGAAGATAAAAAGAAATGAACTAAGGAAGAAAGAATGGAAAATAGTTTAGATTCATTCCATTAATTATTATGGTATTTATAAAATAAATATGGTATCTATAAATCTGTGGAAACTGCAAGATAAAAAATGTGGTAATACCTTTATCAACTGTTGGTTTAAAATTTTTTGTGGTTATGACATCAGGGCTGAATTTTAAAATGAAATATTTGGTAAATTCCTCTGCATTCTTGTCAATGTTGCTATAATTTGTTAATATAAAAAGAATGTCATCAATTGCTGAGGAATTTTTAAATGTATGTTGTAGGAGGATTTTCTGAAATCTCTGTCCTGTTGGTTTTCAAACTTTACTCAAATAGTTCTTCTGATATGTTGATATACAAGACAGAACCTATGTTCAAGCCATGAAATAAAACTAAACAACTTATATAAGTTTTTAGAAAAGTAAAAAATATTAGTTAGATTATTGTAATTCTCAAAGTACAAGTATCTACTTGAAAATAGACTAGGAATTTTTATCACATTTTTGTTCAAATAATTTAAAAATAGTTTGAGACTTGTTTCAAGGCCAAACTATAAGAGAAGGATATCAGTCCTTTGTTGATTATATTGAACCTATTAATAATAAATACAGTTTACAAAATATTTCATTTGAGTTTCTTTAAGAAAGTATGATAAATTCACCAAACACTAATACATGAAATATAAATAGTGTAAGACATTACCAGAATATTCATGTTTGGGAATTCAAGGAACAATTAGTATTCATACATGAAAGTTTATCAATTCCTCATTGAAGGCCTGAGTCTCAAAGAATTTTTAGTGGAAAAACTTAAATTTCTGTCATGAATATGGCTTGTTTCTGGAGAACTAAAAGTGAGTCCCTCTGTGGAATGAGACAGAGTTACCCTGTTGGCTCTTTCTTTTTGAAGTGTTTGTTCCCATTTGAAATAACCACAACATTTTCTGTTTTCTTGGTATTTCCCAATCGGGCAACAATAGAAGACTTTTCCATGGTTTGGTCCATTATTAGAAACAACAAGTCTCTTAGATCTTCGGCCACACTTGCATAAGGGAGGTGTCATTTTTCCACTCTTCCAAGGTTCTTGTAGGTTAACTGTAGATGTTAAAATAGATGGGAGAACCTTTCGGGAAGAACTTCTTACTGGGGTGCAATCAGATGATGTAGGCTTTTCTTCATGAATACTGAAGGTTTGTTTTTTTGCTGGTGGAAAAGCTGGGGGATTGGATGGATTCCTTTTAGTACCACCTAAACGAAGAGGATATTTCCCCAACACTAAAGGATGAGATGCATTGGCATTAACACTGGTGAAGGTACTTGATTTGTGTTCAGGTAATTTAAAGGCAAAAACATCTGAATCTAGATCTTTGGCTTGTTTTATATTGTAAATAGTAGTCTGAGGACTCTTGTACACAATAGATTTAGAAGTCTCAGATTTTTGAGGAGTTTCTTCTATGCCTCCCAAGTTTTCACAACTTAGCATTTCTAATTCTTTTAAAACCATTAATCTTTCTCCAGAATTAAATGAAGTATCTAAGTCTGAGTCACTAATGGGAATTGTACAATCCATATTTTGCTCAGGCTGAGAGGCTGGCAGTAAAACTACATCCTCCCAATCAGTCAACATAGGTAAACAGTCAAGAGCAGAACTCATTTCCATATCAGAAACATGATTGACAGATGAAATGGTGGTAGAAACAAGTACCAATTCTGAACCTATTGAAGACTTAGATTTGGTATTAAAAGCAAGATGTTTATTTTTTCTTTGCTTCTGCATATAGATAGGTGAATTAAAGGTAGGAGACTGCAACTGCCCCAGAGAAGTAGAGGACTTTGTATTTAAAAGAGATAAGCAACTTTTGACATCGTGAAGACCTGTTTTTACAGTCTTTACTTGTAATTGATCCTGCTGTACAGGAGAATTCGCACAAATTGACTCCATTTGAACTTTTTCATGAGAATTTATTGTATTTTTAGGCTCCCCATCATATGTGTTGGGAACCTGTATGCTAATGTTGCAGGCAGATGTTTCTTCAACTTGATTTGTATTCAAATTTCTGGCCAGAATGCTGGGATTCTTCTTAGTGGAAACCTATGATTCCACAGACAAATCCAACAGCTTTAGATACCGCACATTCATAATTTCTTCAGTACACATTATATGACAAAAAAGAAAAATGTCATTGATTTATAAATGATTTCACACATGCAATCTACATTTCAATGAACCTGTGACTACTTCTGGAGTTTGAGATGACGGAATAGAGGCAAGACACCACTAACCTTGTTCAAGGACCTTGTAATTTTCATTAGGCAACCATCCCTGATCATTTTCCAAGCAAGAAAGGCAGTATTCCGAGAATCATCCAACCCTGAGAAAAGAGATATCAAACACTGAATCTAATGGTACTAGTATAAAAAAAAAAAAACAGCAAAAAAAACCAAAAACCAAAAAACAAATTACCACTTAGAAACCGGGGCATAGTGTTAGTTTTATGACTATCTATTAATTTTAATCATGATAAACTGGTTTTGTGGAAAGCTGTGGCAATATTACCAGTGAAAAACAAGATCTTCCACATTTATAGAGGAAGATGTGAAAAGTTGTTAGACAATTCCCCAAAATGTGACCAACATTCAGTAGGGACTATGATTTGTGAGTAATCTAAATAGTCTTGTTCAATTTTTCACTAGGCCACCATATCATTTGGGCACTTTAGTATCCCTTTTGGTTTGGCTAATTCCTTTCATTCTCTTTAGCAACTAGAAATCCACTAGATGGCAATCTTTATCTTAACCGTAGTTTATGAAAAGTGATAATTTGAAAGTTTTAGAAACAATTTGAATTGTATAGATTAGGTTTTTTTTTTTTTTTTTTTTTACACTGAAGGATATCCCTTATTAATGACATTACCAAAACATGAAATGTATCTGGAAGATTTTATACAAGTCAAATGACTTACATAATAAAATGATTTTTAATTTATACTAACCAGAATGTTCTCGCCCTGAGAATTCTATTCCCACTTCCTGCAAAGCACCACTTAGTCCTTTTGGTTTTCTCCTATAGAAAAGCTGATCAAATAAAAGAACACATATCTAAAAAAATAATTACTATTTGAAAGGCTGTGTGTTAACAACGTTTGATAATTTTTAGTTCTATTAGATTTGGAATATGCTTATTTTTGTTGTATTGTTTTTAAATACTTTACAAAACGTAACATTCAGAAAAAATATTTTATTTGTAGAAACCCATACCCATGTGTGATAAACTTTAATAATTTTTCAAAAGAAGGAAAGTGAACATGTTTCCATCTTTGGCTGTTACCTTGTAAGTTGCTCTGAGATCAATCCAAGAATTTAAGAACACAGGTTTTAACAGCTGTTTTCTTTTACACTCATACTCCAGGCAAACCCCCAAGTCCCAGTCTGTATTAAGTATATTAAAAAAGGACAAAGTCAATGATGACAGCATTTTTTACTTATTCTGCCACCATTTACAAATATAATGTTGGAAGATGATATAAAATAGAACAGTAAGATTTATTTGCTCTGCTAATAACTAAAAATTATTTACTTTATATAACTTACTATTAAGAAACTAGGTTTTTAATCATGAAACTAAGTCTCAGAATGATTTCTTAAACACCCCCCCAAAAAAACCCCTATTTCAGAAAGAATAAGGTATTTAAATTACAAGGCTCATATTTCCTCTAGTCTAGGAAAATAATTTTAAATAACATAATTTAGAAACCAAACATTTAGTAACTAGAAACCAAATATGACTATCAGTGCTATGCTATCAATGGCATGGTATTGCTATCAATGACTATTAATGGCAATGCTATGTCACAGTCATACAAAAGACCTACTTTAAATGGCCCATTTTTTTCTTAATGTCTACTTTTGTAAGTATCAAAATATAAAAGCAAACGATGTAAGCTAAATGAGGACTCTTTTTATTCAAGGCTGTAGAAAATAGCATAATAAGAGTTTTCACTAAATCATCTTTGTTTGGATTCAGAAGAAAAGAAAAGAAAATCTTTCTGATTCTTAAAGTTAAGGCTTAAAATTTTAAGGTATCCCAGAATGGTAATTTTAAAAATATGAATTTACTTTTCTTGGTTAACATCTGCTAGGCACTTGGATTTCTTTACCTTGTCCAGGAAGTTAATAAGTATAATTCTAGATTAGTAAGTACAAAACTAGAAATAAAGAATTACATAGTATTTATTCAACCCATTTGTGATTTGATATAACTTATTTTTTTTTACCTGACCAAGTAACAAATGCACATAATTTTACATCAGAAGTAGAAGGCTCTGAAACTCTAGTAGCAAAAATAATTTTCTTCTGTTGCTGAATCTTATTAATCCATTTACAGAACTGAGATAAGCAAATCTTCAGAGGGGCCCCTTCATCAACTTGTGCCTGAACAGAGTCACAAAATCAGAATTCAACAATCAATTCCATAATTATTGAGCACATATTATAAAAGGATAGGCACTATAGAAGGATATAATAAAGAAGAGGTTCTAACTGGCAAAGAGTTTAGCTTGTGAAAAGATGTTAAAACACATGGGAAAGAAATAATGATGAAAGCTTGCCAAGGTAAGAAAATTCAGGTTGATAAATCTAAAATCACACAAAAATATAATCATTAAATCTAGACTGACAGAAATAAAAGACAAATTTGAGTCACATAATTTCTGCAAAAAAAATTTTATCTTTATTTTTATAACACCATTCTTTTTCTTTTATCTAGTCCTGAATCCCAAATAACACTATTCTTTCTAATTTTTAAAGATTCCAGTGGATTTCTGGAGGGGAAATTACTTCTCCTAACACTGAAAAAAATCTAATTCCAAATGGTATATAGCTTTTATTTTCTTTTTGAAACTGATTACTGAATTTTAAAATTTGCATCATACCTGCTTTATGCCTGTCAGTTCCATGCAAAATTCTGAAAGAACTGGATGTTCCTGAGGCTGAACATAAGCATGGAACTCAGATTCAATGTCTCCAGTTGATGTGTTCAACAACACTGCCGGAAATTCAACTAAATGAAAGAATTATCAACTGACACTTGAATACAAATATACATAACTTTTTAAAATTAATGCTGTAATCACTCTAAATTAAATATATTACCATCATAATGGCATCATTAATTTCAGTAAAAGCATGTTAAAATGACAAAG